AGCAATTCTAAGGATGTTATTTGAGACAGCACAGATGACCCTGGAACAGAGACCAACATATATAGCATGCCCCACTTCACGTAATTTCTTCTGGGGTAATCAACAGTACAAGATCCTCTCTGGCTCACATGGACACCTATTTTGATGTTCTCATTGTAAGATTTTTTATTTTTTTTCGTTAAACCTAGACATACAGATTTACCTAGACACTTCAACAAAATTTAAAACATGCAGACAAACACTGTTATATGCTGAACAACTAGAAAAAGCACTAGAGATAGTAACAGTATGAAATACAATAATATATTTTTTTCAAAATCTACTAGGTCTCATACATCACAACTTTATTCTCCTAAAAACAGAAGAATGCTTGTTCTGTTTGTTGCTACTTTGCAAAGAATATGTGAGTTAGAAAACACAGCTGTATAGCACATTTCACAGGATAGATAGAAAGTAGTGTAAGAATATGCAGAGGTGTTTGGTAATAGTCAATAAAAACTATAGTGGGGTGAATAAGAAACACAGTCTATTTATTCTAAACACATTTTCACCTGTACAATGTTTTAAATTACACTGCAGTGTCTTAAAAACTAAACTGATAAGGCAAGCAAATGAAATAGCATGACTTATTGCTAGGGAGTGAAAGAGGCACTTAACAGCGACTCTAGAGTACAGGCTATGAAAACTGAGGCAACTTTCTCTGGCACTTTGACCTCTATTAATTTAAGAAGCTAAAAAACCCCTAATATTGCTGTTCTAAAGAACGAAATAATGAAGTCGTTTAAACAGGTCCAAATCACACAGGTGTGTACTGCTTTTCTCCTGAACACCATAAAAAATTGCATATTGACACTTGAAAGAAAAATCTCTTCCCCACCCCCAGCTTGCTCGTTTTAAACAGAAGGCACAGCACTGAGCACATTCTTACTGAACATTCATTTTGCTTACATCTAATTTCCTTCCTGTCTTCTCCATGCTTCTTGACTACTCTTTTCAAGGCTGTGAAACAATCCTCTGCTTTAAGCAATTTATGTGCCTTCCCTCACTTGAAGTCAAGCCCTACCACATCAAAAACATTACCAAGTTAAGTAACCAACTGTTACAGCTCAAATTAAGGTAACACAGCAAAGAAAACAAAGATCCCATTCTCATGGGGATCATTATACTTATTAAGAACAAGCAAAAGAATATGCAGAATACACAAGACATAACATACACAAAACTTTCCTGTTAATTTTTTCTGATACCGAGGTTAATTTAAAAAACAAAGCTCCAGACAGCAGTTCTTCAGCCAACTTAGTCCTTCAGAACACTAAATCTGTTCTTCAAAGCTCTGCTTCTCTCCATCCTATTTTACTGGCAAACCTCCTGCTGACGAGCTCATTAAGAAACAAAGCAGTTCTGCAGCCCTATTCAGTAATAGCAAGGTCCCAGATAGAGGTACTATGCTCACTTTTGAGTGCTGTTTTTCAGGAAGGACTGAAATGAGCTGGTCAGAGTCCAAGGGAGAACAGTGACAACAATCATCAGAGAAAAAGCAGACAGACACAGCCATTCACTCAACAGTTCCGCAATTCCTGGGGGCTCACAGGCAAGGTGTTTAGATGCAGCTTTACTAGTATCTACTAGAAGATACTTAGTTCTGGAGTTTCTTTCGCTAAGAGTTAGTCTTGCAAGTATCCACATTCCCTGGTATAAGTCTGGCATACCATACTGTATCCTTGAAAGTTTCTCATTTTGAGGGGAGCTTGCTGGAGACTTCAACTGGGACACTGCTGCCAGGCTATGCTTCACTAATATTCTTGTATCGCATTTTCCCACACACAGTGCCCTAAGTGAACAGGGCCTGTTTGTTTGTTATTTTATAGAATGACTTTTTTTTCCTCCTTTTTATCATGTCTTTAGATTTGGATTAATCTCAAATTAATATTTGGATTAATCTAAAATTAATAAATCTAGCATCCTCTCTCCTCAATCCCAGAACACTGAACTAACAGATAAGTAGATTTGATTAAGTGTATCACAAATTAGAAAGACAGTACAAACGATTTCCACATTTCAAAGTAAATTACTAAAGCAGCAATAGCTGTTAATCTCTCAATAACAGAAGTCAATTACAGCTCTGTTGACACACCACCATAAAAACCTTTAGCTCTCTTAAAATTGTCATCTGTTAATGACTTCCAAAAACAAGCCAAGCATGTTTCACCAACACATAAAACTAAGGATGCATTTAATATTCTCTCTGGGAGCACTTGAGGAGGTTTCTAGAACAAAGTTAAGATGCCAAGAGGATTATATTTACCTTAACTATACACTGTAAGAAAATATGCAGCAAAACAACTCTCCCTGTGTGTGGCTATTCTGTCTCCCAGGACTCCATTGAGTCACTAAGCAATTCCCATTAATACTACCCTCTGTGCTTGAATTTATTTATCCCCAAATCCATGTTAAATATTTATATTTGCTGTGGACATCACCATAGATTAAATCCATTCTTTACCAGTGTTTAACTAAGAAATGAACTAGTACAGTCCTGTGCATTATTATTTGCATAACTTTAGCAGAATACCGAGTTCATTGCAGGAGTCTCTCCTCCTCTGGTGGCCTGTTCTACATCACAAAGCTTTCAGCAAATGTGCATGTGCTCATTCTAATTAGTCTGGGAGTCCAAAAGAATTAGCTCCAATTTCAGTATATTACTCTATTAATCACAGTTTCTTAAAAACTTTTAAAAACATAGCTAAAAGAATTAACGTTCTGGCTAGCACATGATGAGAATCTGTTGTTTTAAACTAATGGCCAGTTCTAACTAATGCAACTTGACTAGTACCTTCTGAGGAATGACGATTTTTGAATGTCTCTGTCTACTCTCTGTGAGATGCTTTGGGCTTGATGTACAGCTGTGCTCCCAGTCCCACTCACAAGGAGATGGCAGTGCAGTAGTTTGCTCCCTGAAAAACAAAGTTTCATTTCAGTAATATATAATCATAAAAGAATGACTGTGAAGCCTGGGACACTGAAGTCCTAGATACAAAGAAGATATAAAATACACGTCCCTGGTTAGTTTGGCATGCTTTAGCTTCCCTGGGAATCAAGTGGAAACAGTGCTTAAAGAGAGGAGATGATACTCAGAAATATCTACACTTGCAGCAATGCTGCAAACTTCCATTCAATCACTATCCTCATGAGGCATTCACACAAGCCTGCACACCAAGCAGCAATGCATTTTTAGTCTTAGTGTGATGGCTTAGTTTGCATTGAATTGTACAAAGTTAAACTAGTAAGAACATTATTCTTACTGAGGTTATGCTCAAGATACAATCAGATACATGCACTCCGTTACTTCAACTGGTAATTTAACAGTTGCCAAATGACAGAAAAGAAGCAATTCCCAGTGTAATTTTCAATTCCTTCCCTTGCTCAGGGGCCTCAGCTACCCCTCTTCTGTACAAGCAGTAAGTTAGCTTCCATTCAGCATCCATGTCACAGGGCTCCTCCTCCATCCCATCCCTTGTCCCAGCCCTTGATTATTCCATGTAGGAAAACAGAAAATGGATGGTTTAACTAAGATGAAAGAACTTCTGACAGAAATAGAAACAGAAGCCGATGGTTAGGGTTTGCTCCTTGGGCTTTGTTTTTAAAATAAAACAAACACGCATCTTTATCATCTGAATTCCTCTCAAAGAACACCTTTCCAAAGTCTTCCATCTTCAAAAGGATATAGCCAGACTTTCCTGGAAGAATATCTTAGCTGTACTTGTAACAGGCTTGTTTTAACATTTTTTTAATCTCCAATGTATATGCTTGGCTTTGGTTTTGGGGTGTTTTGACTGGGTTTTTGTTTTGTTTTTGTTTTTTTGGGGGGTTTTGGTTGGTTGGTTTGGGTTTGTTTTTTTTTTTTGGGGGGGGGGGTGTTGGTGTTTTTTTGGTTTTTTGGTTGTTTTTTTCTTTTGGGGTGGTGGTGGTGTTTGCTTGCTTCTTTTAGTCTCGTTAATACTCCATTACCCATTTATAGATAGCAGGAGAGCCATAAGAGAAACTGAAAGAATTCTGCAGAACTTCACCAATTATCTGCAAGTCTACCCCACATTTTATTGATGCATCTTGTGTGCGGCACCCCCTTTTTCCTGAGCAAAATCATAATGAGGTCCAAGATTAAAAAAGCAAACTTAAAACTTCTAAGATATTTTTAAAATTGTATTTCATTGCAGATTAACTTCTTAAAAACTTAACAAATGTAAGCACCTGCCAGACATCACACTGGTGAAGCTAGGAGGTCTTTTCCCCTGTCTGCTGCTTCTGCCAGCATAGAAGCATCTTTCTGAAAGTAATCAACTGCTGTTTTAAATCAAGGCATGATTTCAGAAGTCACACCACAAAAGAATGCTTAATACGAGTTTCTGTGAACAATAAAGAGCAGCAAGAGCTATGCTGTATATTATGAACAAACATCAGCTTTATTGTTCAGGCTGTGCATAGAACACTATTCTGGAAGCTGCAAGAAAGTTACACAAGCAAGCCAAATCCAAACTATTCTGCCATCATTTTGCCCCTGCATGTAGATGCCCAAAGTTAAGAAAATTGATTTGTCACAGAAATCTCATCACTATTCCAAGGAAAATGGAAGTGGAAACCCCCCACACACACACTTGGTAATACCTTTTATATGGAAATGGAAAGGAATGCCTTAGCAAAACAAAGTATTTGCCTTTCTGGCTTTCTTTAGCACCTCAGTCTGGGTTTTTAATCAGAATTTTCAAAACTTTCAAGAGATGGCACTGAAGCTAGGATCACACTTTTTTTTTTTTTTTTTAAATTTTAAGAGATGAATAAGAGAAATAAAGGAAGCACATGGGTTAAGCATGCACCTGGATTTGTGCAGTGGGATAATGACAGATGAGGACTTCTGTATCCTACATTCAGTATTAGGCTTTGGCAACTGCCTCATGTTTTGGGTTTTTTTCCAACACATACACACTTTTAGAACACTTTTTTTTTATAGCAGCGTGACAGGGTACCTCCAGAAGTCAAGCAATAAGCTGATGTTTAGCAAGTGAGTTATTAATTTGCTTGTTCCAGTTATACAGAGTAAGCATTCTGCAGCTACAAAAAAAAGAAAAACAGCACTTTTTCTTCAACCCACAGTTTACCACAACTGTTGGTTACCAACCTCTAGTTCCCTGAAAGTTTTAATGAAAACATAAAAGGGATCCCTATTACAGTCCAATGACAACAGCTTTTCTGCTTTTCTGAAATGGCTGGAATGGCAAATCCAAACATAATCCACATACATCTTGACCAGTTTGGAATTCCAAGTGTGCACAACAATCACATTAACTAAACCCCTCCCTTCCTGAAAGGAGGGAGATGCCCGATTAAGCATGCTGGAAATAAATCCAAATATTAACAGGGTAGTGTCTTTTGCACTTTTGATACTGACTTACACTCAGTAGTAGATGGAAGCCAAGCAGTCCCAGTCACAAAACAAAAGAATAATGAATACTACAGTTAATAAGTTTCATTTTTAGACAGCTTGTTTCAAGCTGCAACTGTGGCCAAACAAACCTACTTGAAAACAAAGAGGAATTTTGCAGGAATGTACTATTACTTTCCAACCCAGCTTCTCAAAGTATCAAGGGCAGTCATGTACAATTTAATCAACATGCAAAGAGTGGCTGCAAAATTCAAACAGATTGGCATGTAGATAAGTTACATGAAACAATTAAAGGAAGTCACAGTCTAGGACACTCCAATGTCCTGTGTCCAAATACATTATACTAAGAACCCCTTTTAATGGACAGATTTTTAACAAAAAGCCCTACAAGTACTCATTAACACAGTATCAGAAACTTAGGATCAACTTAAAAAATACTTGTATTCATAACAGGCTGGAAACTCTTGGCATCAGAGTATTTTCTAAACTAGTTTTTGTTGTTTCGGTGATAAAACTAGCAAAAAAAAAATCATATAGTGAACTGCATTTTAATTGCTTCTACTGTTGCTGCCACTGCTAAGAGGAAGTGCTCTTGTGGAAAAATTACAGGACAAATCTGAGTTCAGTTACAGCCAAACAGTCAATGTTACTTCTTTGAAGTCTTACTAAACATAAAACTATTCCAAACCAGCAGAAACATTAATTGCACTTGAACAAAACCCTCTGACATTTTGCACGCCTCTGCAACATCTGAAAACCATTCTAATGCACAACAAAGAGACTAGAAGGGCTGCGGAGAAGTAGCATCATCTATTGATGCTACTTATACAGGAGCAGGTGGGAAAGAGCGACAATCCCCTTTCACATGTGTAAGTTTTTAAGAGAAACCTTTGTGAACAGAAAGAACTGTCCAAAGCCTAATACTCAAGCTGTTTGGTACAAGAAAGCACTCTCAATTTTTTTTAACAAAACCAGAATGCTTGGTATTTCACATTTTGAACAGTAATAGCGTTAATTTACTTCTCTCATAATAACTGAAGCTTTACTTTAGGGAAACAGTATTCCTAAATATGATGAACTCCTGCTTCCTGGCAAAGAACAACAGTTGCGTACACAGAGAAAAGTGGTCTTCCACTTTAAGAAGGTGCTAGCTTTGTCACGGACTCAATTACGTATTTCTTAAATGATGGTGAGGGGGAACACAGATGTACGTACATCAAGTTAGTAGTGAACAACAAACACAAAACACCCATTTAATTTTCATTCTGATGAGTATACACCTACTTATCCTTTCTGTTCTTTAGCAAACTTCTGATTTGGAAACAACACGTTCTCCTACTTATTCTACTGGTCAAGGACGAGAAGTACACACAAATCTCCAAAGAAACCACCAAGATCAACCACAACTGAAGAAGATACACCATTTGGAAGGTACAAAAAAAAGGTTAAATGTTTTACAAATGACTCAACTCTCTTCTGCTAACAAGTTTTAAAATTGCATGATTTGAGGTGAGGACAGGTTTTCCCATAGCTACATACCGATTGTTTTTTTAGCACTTACCCTGGATGTTGCCACAGATTTGCATGTCTACCCTCAGGAAGCAGTTCCCTCTTGTTAAGGGGAGTAATACCTATTGCTGCTTCTAAAATAGTTATGTATTTCTTGTACCGCATCCTGCCTCTCTCAAGAGTTCCACCACGCCAAATTATCATCCAAATGTAGACACTGCAACTGAAGTCATGCCTCTTCACTTATCTGAAGCACTTATCAGTGGTGCTTTTTAAAACACGCTGCGAGTCTGAAGCAGAAAAGCAAAGCTTTTTCCTCTCCCAGGCTTAGAGACTTATTAGGAGAGAGAAACCAAAGAAAAACTCCTACCAGATTCCCCAGAAACGTCACTGTTACGTAACTGAATCTTTGAATAAGACACTAATGAAAATGATTGAGGAGACAATCAGGGTTCTAAGCCTGGCCGGATAATGCACACTCTCCAATTGACTAATCCTTTGCTAAATCTCCACTGTCTATAATCTTTCAACTGCTAATGGAGCACTAGGTAACTCCTCTGTAAAATCTGACCAGAGAATAAGAGAGATCTGCACAGAAAACTTGAGACTGTTTTAGACACTGTGATGGACAACAACAGGTTGTTTCAACTTTTTTCCTCAGCACCACGAAGCTCTGTACACTGGAAGTGTTACAAGAGATTCATCTGATCTGTTCAGAAAAGGCATGGACAAATTTCTTTATGTGGCTTGCACAGCATTATGAAAGACAGAGACTTCCATTATGATGCCTACTTGTCATTCAAATATGCCTCACACAATGCCAAAAACACTTCCCAGGTCAAAATCGTTCTAGCCATGAGGTAAGTAATTGTATATGCCAAAGACCTCAGGCAATAACTACGAAGGAGGAGACAGATGTACATGCTGAAGTAACAGTGACATTTGGGAAATCCTGCAGTACTGTGAAACCGCAGTATTAAGAGAGACGTACTTGATTGCAAAAAGACTAAGGAAATTGTGTTGTAATGCTACTTAGATCTGAGATAGTAAGATATGAATGATTTATATATATATATTACATAAATACTACATACTTAAGCAGTACTATACATAAAAATGTAAAAAGAACAGATAGGATAGAAAGACTGAAGACTTCAGCCACAACTCCCTCTGTGAACCGTGCATTTTAATTATTCCCTAGTATTGTCAGGCGTATCTCTATTTCTGTTAGGGTGACTTAACATTCTATGCTACTTTAGAAATGGGTAAGATGAAACCCACTAGTTTTCATTACTTATTTGGTAGAATATTCAGCTTCTGCAATATCTGTATACCACTGCAGGTCCGGCATTACTTACAATCCTGTGTTACCTGTATTTGGTGTTCAATATTCATTCACATTTGTAGGTTAACATATGCACACATGGAACTATTTCAAGTTATTACCAAATAATAATTTGTGAGACTGATCTTGGAAGAGCAAAATAAAATCAAGTATCTTTTAGATTCACAGGATACCAATAGAAACAACTGTCAGAGGGGAAAAAACTTAATTTTCACCTACATAGCTGCATGCTGGTATGTAAGGAATATGCAGTCTGAAAATGCAGTTTTACTTGAAACACAGATTTTTTTTTTATCTATATGAGATTCAGTCTTTCCTCAGAGTCAGTTTTGTTATCAAGATCAGTACTGCCATAATTTCTCCTATGAAGTTTTGGTACTTCTTTCTTTCCATCCGTCCTCTCCCATGTAACAATGTTTAACACTAAATTTTCCTCTTACAGATCTAATTAACAGTTCTTGCAAAAACTTTCCTAAAGTATTTTTCAAAACCTATGCAAAGTCTAAAAAGCATTCAGTGCAGCTCTGGTCCATCTTTTGTCTCTCTGGGCAGAGTGTATAAATTCTTACTAAAATAGGTGCCCCACAACTGCTCTTGTACACAGAAAAGCCAAGCTCACACAATAAGTACCCATTACACCCAAGCACTGCTTTTGATTAAATTGTTCATGGAATCTCCTGGTATCTAGAGGGGCTAAGACTGACTCACAGTTTATCAGCTTCACAGAATCATAGAATGGTTTGGGCTGGAAGAGACCTTAAAGATCATCAAATTCCAACCTGCCCTGCCACTACACCAGATTGCTCAAGGCCCTATCCAACTTGGCCTTGAACGCTTCCAGAGATGCAGAAGCCACAACTTCTCTGGGCAACCTGTGCTAGTGTTTCATCACCCTCATAGTGAAGAATTTCCTCTTAATATCTAATCAATGAAATAACCTAAAATGGAGTACGTGTTTTCAGTTACACGATTACCCTGCACATCTTCATCTTAAAAAAATCAGATTGTAATTGTATTGTCTGCAATCGAGGTTTGCATACTTTAAATTCACAGTAAAACAGGACACATGCTCTAACACAGCAGACCTTGCACCAGCATTCATAGAGGTTAGGGTTGGAAAGGACCTTAAAGACTACCCAGCACTTCTCTGGGCAACCTGTGCCAGTGTCTCACCTGTCTTACTGAATATTTTTTTTTTCCAATATCTAATCCAAATCCTCCCCTCTTCCAGTTTAAAACCATTCCCCCTTATCCTGTCACTACAAGCCCTTGTAAAGAGTCCCTCTCCAGATTTCCTGTAGGCCTCTTTAGGTACTGGAAGCTGCTCTAAGGTCTCCCTGGAGCTTTCTCTTCTCCAGGCTGAACAAACCCAATTCTCTCAGCCTGTCTTCATAGGACAGCTGCTCCAGCCTCCTGATCATCTTCACGGTCCTCTTCAGGACTTGCTTCAACAGCTCCACATCCTTCGTACGTAGTGGCCGTTCAACTGAACTTCCTTTTGCTTTATTTGAAAACAGAAACTCAAAGGTGCTAGTACATCCCTTGTTAGATAAGGGTGGATTTTGCAGAACTAACAAAGTCTAAAACACGCAGTCTTCCATTGCTTCCTGTTGGGGAGTTACCATCCACTCCCCTTCTGGCTTTGTATTTTTTCAGGAAGAATGGACACCAAGTTTTATTGGTAAGAACACAGTGTAATTTTCCTATCTGGGAAGACAGAAGTGAACAAACATCTGAGAGTTAAGGTGTAAGAAAATATTTGTGTCAACCTCAGGAATTCACGTCTTTTGAAATTTGGCTGAAGAACAACAGTAAGAAACCACACCACAGTTCAGCTAAAAAGATTCTTGGCTTATTCACTATATTGGTATCCTCCACTAACCTTTTTCCCCATGAATCTCTCACATTAATTACTAATCAGTTTACCAAACACAGAAAAAACAGTTACATGCATTTCTACGAAACAGGTACAGCACATTGTGGCAACATGCCATGAGGCTTCAAGCACTTGTCATGGCCTTACCAAGCTACACTGGCTATAGGGAAACAGGACTCCATGAAAACTGCCAGCTTCTCTTTCTCCGTTCCAAAACTCCCTACTCTTTTCTGTGCTTCCATAGCTGAAACAGCAAGAAAAACCCCGCAAATGTTTCACTCTTGGTACAATGATTTCAAACGAGCTGAAAATCTACAGATGACTTTTGCAAAGCAATTCTGGAGTTTCCTTATTTTCAGTCACCCTGTAAAAATTGTAAATTCAATTACAGTGGATGGTTTGGAAAGCAATACATATTTCCAGGAATGGGGAAAGAATGACAGAAACTCTTTTCTGAATTAAAGAAACATTTATGAGATCAAAGCAAAAGCTGCCTTTTGCTCTAATCCTTGACAGATGAAAACAGTCATATTCCCTTAATGAGATGTAGAACATACTTCATGTAAACTGATGACAGAAGCATGATCACATCTTTAGTCACTTTGGACTCACCCACAGAGGAGACAACCATTGCCCAACATAACCACAAATTACTTTCCATCTTTGGAAGGTGACAAAATCCTGCTCTTTCTCATTTCTCAAAAAAAAAAAAAAAAAAAATGTAAAATGTACAGACCAAAGCATTTTTTTATGAAGAAAGCAAAGGAAAAAAGTTTTCCTATATGGTTTTTCTCAGGTTGCAAGAATAACTATGACAGACAATTGTTAACTTCCAGAACATATGTGCCTCATCTGGGCCATATAGCTAAAAAACAATGAAAATTGAAAATCAGTCAATACATATGTCAAGCTTGATCCATTGAAACAATCTTGAGACAAAAGAGCATCAAGGATGAGGCTGGGGGCATGGAATGGGAGTGATTTCATGGAAAGAGAAGGACCTGGAAATATCTTTCACACAGCATCACTGGTTGCAGTTGCTTTTAGCCCCTCCTTAAGAGATTGCCCACTGCCTGAACAGTCCATATGCTCCTGGAGATTCTCAGAATCAGCTTACACAAAGTTGTTTTAAGGAGGCTAGAGACACCAGCAGTCAAATCTGCTGGCTATTAAGCAGAGCTAGATGATGAAGCAGATGTTAGAAAAGAGAGAGCAAGCCAGACTACTGACAGCCTTGCTATTAACAGTGATGCACAGGAGAGATAGATTTAGGGGTTTTCTCTAATGTCCCTTAAGGGGGAGGGAAAAGAAAATGAGAGGACCAGGGGGGAAAAAACAAGAAAAAAAACCCAAACAACAAGGCAGCAAAGCAAATAATAAATAGCTCTAAGAAATATGCAAAACCTTGGTTTAGATGAAGCTGAGCCAGTATTGAGTTCAGGCTCAGTTTATCAATACAATGCAGGCTGATGTTAAATAATTAGTTTTATTTGACAGTAATGACAACAAAACACTTTGGGGAGAGATATTACTAAGCCATTCTGAGGAAAAATCCAAAATGGCCCAAAATAACTGAACTCATACCTAGCTTAATGAAAACATAGCCACACCTAACAAGACATCCTAAATCTGACATTTCACATGTCTATAGACCACACCTGAGATAATCTCCATACCATAATATGCACTGAGAAACAAAAAGAAATTTCTCAAAAGCAGTTTTGCTTTTTGAGGAAGCTGGTGCAAGACAGAAGCAAAGACAATAGCATACAAATGGAGCAGGCATTGGGGAAAACCAGAATAAAAGGGGATTTATATTTTTTTTTAGCTTGCACACTTACTGGCCTTACTACTGTATCACACAGTATTTTTGTAAATCATTTTCCCGTTACACGTGAAAACACAGCACTAATTGAGTTTCATTTTCTTCCTAGATCAGAAGCCATGGTTACATGTGGATCCAACACTCAGATGCACAATGACAATGCTGACCTCAATTCAAGGAAGACTTAGGTAGCTCACGTTTCCTAAAAACAAAACCTGCAGCTGATGAATATACACCAGTGCAGATGCCATATAAGATATCAGACCAAACCTCTCACAGCTCACTGGGTTGTTACCAGGCTTGGATAATAAACATTCTAAATACATTCATATCTGAAAGGGTCACATAACACTGGACAAAAAGGAGTTGCCACAGTCTGTGTTCTCATTTAGAACAGAAATCTACAACACTCCCTAGCAACAGGCACTTGCAGAAAACAATTATTTGAATCAAAAGAAAATAAAAACCAACAACAACAAAGCAACTAAAAAACGACACAAACATTAATAGTCTAAATTGTGAAACTATGTGGTCTTTGCTTCTGCATGAAGTTGCTCAATTCCTATACTGCAGTCAATACCTGTGTTGATTATACAATATTTAAGTAAAAAAACAAAACCACCTCAGCCCTCTACTGTTAAATATAGGCTTTGTTTGGCAATACACACACACACACACACAGATAATATTATTAAGTTCTAAATCACAATTTACCTATTCAGAAAATAAAAATTCTGGGGCAGGACCAGGATAACCCTGGTACTGATAAAAGGACAATAAAGAGCAACAGTAGGCTCCAAAGGCTCTGGGACAAGAAATAAGCATAGCTTACAACGCAGCAGAAATACACATCCAGTACAGTGCTGCTCCTCCTGAGGAAGAGGATGGCTCAGGTAACTGAGAAAAGCACTCTGCCGTGAGCAACTCTATTTTGTCGTAGAATCTGAGAGAGAAATCTGTGTAGAAATTAAACCTCAGTACTCATCTGGGAATTTTCAAATAACTTCCTTGGTCATGGGACGGAAACCGAACCTTTAACTGTGACAGACAACATGCACTGCTGTGCATATGACAGCACGGCCACACAAAACCAGTCAACCTCATGCTGGGGCTGCAATCTCTTTGGGGGAGTAAGTCACCATTTGCAAACATTCTTCACTATGGCAAGATCCATACTGAAGACAGGCCTTATAATTATGCCCTATCTGCTTATTGCCATAAATGTTTGTTTTATATACAGATTATCTCACTTTTGAGGGATCTAGTTCTAAAAATCACAGAAATTCACTGCAATTTGGGATTAGGATTCACAGACATTATGTAGCTGATGTCAAGTAACAATTGTCAGATTCAATATATTTTTTATCAGCAATGAGTATTTTCATACCTGTTTGAAAATAAATCAGACTTGAAAACATCTAACCTCCATAAATTGTAGCTGTTATACCATGCTTGCTTTCCCCTTAGAATTAGATAGGTTCCAGAATTACTACAGCAGGATGAAACTGATGCAGCCAAGGCATGACAAAAGTTACACCGCCCTTGAGAATGTAAATACTGTTATTTCAGCAATTAAGAGAGAACAGTCTTGTAACAAGAGATTTCTTTTACCCTACAAGGAAGTTCTGGACACAGACAACTTTGGTAACTGTTAAAACACACACACAAATGCTATCTGCCATCAAGATTTGCTCCAAGTTAAATGCAGCTTTGAAGTAATCCTGAAATATTAGGCCATTCCCCAGTTCAGGATTACTATGATCCAGGAACTGTCTGATGCTTTCAAGCATCCAGGTTTTCATGATCTAGGAACTTTCTGATGTGTTCAAGCATCCAGCTTTTATAAAGGTACAAGACATCTCATTTTGTGAACCATGACAGTGCCTAAACATTATTTTAATCGCTAGAAAAGATCTCCTGGTTGTCCTTAAAAGGCACTGAACCAGGAAAGTGGGGATTAAGCAATCAAAAAAACGTATCAGACACTTAATTACTTTGATGCTTCATTCTGAAGAGCTCTGTTGAGATTATAGTTCATGCAAAGTATTGGGATCATCCTAACCCATCATAATTCTCAGCACTCATCTTTAGTCTCACAAAACCACAGTGTAGTGGCTCTGAGAACAGCAGCCTTTACTGACACTGTGATACAGAGCAATGAAGAATGCAACTGAAGGCAGAAGCAATTCCTCCAAGCCAGAGTGACTTCCTTTTGCAAAGGGAAGAGGAGTCACTACCACTACCTGAATGCAGTATTCAGGGCATACAAGATGTTTGCATATAACAGCCTGGAAAGCAATTATAACAGTAAACTCACTGAAGAGTCAAATACATGCAAAAGGCTTCCCCTGATGAAAGCCCTCATAAGCACTAGGTTACGCTAAGTATAAATCTTACCAAGTCTAAATGGCATACAATGCTTACTAAATGCATTTCAAAGTCTCTTCAAACAGCCTGGTTATCTAGCAATGAATATCAATTTACACAAGCAAACTTCCCATGCTGTCCAGTACCTGATCCTTGCTATGCAGGCCTCATGGACCCTGATAAGGGTCAGAGCTTGGAAGAGTTTACAGACAGATCCTTAATATTATTAATGCTTCAGAAAGAAAAGGAGCTATTTTATCAGTTATAGCACATGTTTGTTTTCTTCTCTCTGAACCACAGCTGAATCACAGTCCTAAACCTTTAAAATAAAAGGCTGCTGAGCAAAATAAAAGGTGAGTCATTTTAATTTGTTTCAAACCATCCCATCTTACAACTACAGCCAAAGGTTAAAGCAATGAAGACCTTTGTTGGCCTCTGTGGGAGCACAGCTGTGGGGCTGAGAGCTTTCAAACACCATCCTAGCTGTTGGGTTCAACACCAGGTTATAAATCAAAGCCAGGGAGCAGATTATTCAGAGATTCGACCTGTTTAAAGTGAGTTATTATTAGAAAGCAACATTGGAGGTATGGAAGTTTTCAGATAACCAATCTGACAGATGAGTGTATGACTCTTGCACGGGTATGGTCAGGCAGTATGTACTTTTTCACACTGGAAAAATATGCAGAGGACACAGGTTTCAAGTAGGCGGAAAGTAAGGGCAGAGCTGCCTAATAACGCCAGCACATACCACTGGTCGATCAACCTTAACGCTCCACAATTCAAATTAACGTACCTGAGCTACAGCACCGCAAACAAGGCCGATGCGAAAGCACTTTAAGGAGCGATCGAGCATTTGGCCCCTGGAACTGCCCGTTCCTTTGTTTTACGCTTCCCTGTTAACTTGAAACTTCCCCTGACCCAGTTAGCCAAAGCCCAAGGCACGGCTGGAATCCACTCGGGATGTGCCAACACACAGACTCCAGCCATTCTGTGTATGAGAAAGGCAGACACGACCCCCCCCCGCCTCCGGGTGTGCACAGCTCCCGAGGGTCAAAACCGGGGTAACACCACCCCTGATCCCCCGGTGACATCGCTCCCGCTCTCCACGCAGTATCGCGCTCTCCCAGAAAGTACTTACCACGGGAAAAGTCACCGAAAGCCGCTTAATCCCGTTAGGAAAAGCCTATCCCCGGCCCAAACCCGCTTGTTCGCCGGCCCCAGGGGCGCTCCAGGAGTCTGGGGGGGGGGCCAATCCGGGGGAAGCAAGCGTTGGGAGCGCAGACGCCGCTCCGGCTCTCGCGGACAAAGCGCGTCCGAGGAACCAACCGAGCGGGGGGCAGACGAGCCCGGAGCACACAAAGGAGGGAGCGGGAGAAGTCCCGCGCGGCTCTCCCCGTAGCGCGGCCCCTGGAGCCTGGAGCGGAGGCAGCGGCGGCGCCAAGCGGGGGCAACGGAACGCCGCACCTGCCCGAAGGGAGGGATGCAGGGGAGCGGGGAGGGGGGGAGGCAGCTCGCGGGGGTACTCGCCTGCTCGAGGAGATCGTCCCGGTGTGGCGGCGTCTGGCAACTGGGAGGTCCCGAGAGGCGGCCCGGCGCTGGCACTGCGCGCCCTACGCTACCCTCAAAGGTCCTCGCCGCTCTGACGGCTGTCACAGCGGCGCCGAGTCCTAGTGAGTACAGAGCCGAACCCCGACCCAGTGCGGCCGCTCCCGCCGAGTCGGGCGATTTCCTGCGGGCGGGGGCGGCGCTGCACTGCCGGGCCGGGGCGGGGTCCGGCCGCAGGTGCCGACCTCACCCCCAGGTGGGGCAGGCGGCGGAGGGAGAGCAGTGGGTGACGGACAGGCGCCGCTCCGCGTGTGGGGCTCCACCTGCGCCTGGCCCCGGCTGAGGGGTGACTCGCCCGGCGCCCCCGACCCTCGCTAACACACACACACACACACACACACACACGCACACACACACACACACCCGCACTCACACACTCACTCCTCACTCCTCAAGCTGTCTCTCGCCCAGAGGCGGCGGCGGGCGGGAGAACAGGAAATACCGGTCGGAGCCCGGTACTCAGCGCCGCTGAGTCACCGCGGCGGGGCGCCTCGCCCCCCCAGCCTTTCTCAGCGCGTTCCGTCTGCCGGGAGGAGGCAGCGACTCTGCCCCCCGGCTCCACCCGAAGCGCCCACGGCGGGCCCGGAGCCGAGCTGCTCGGCCACTGACGGTCGCGGGCTGCACCGGCACCCAGCCCCGCGTTTGTGTGTTGTTTCCATCAGGTTTTGTTAGGAACCTGGGATCGTTGCCCAGCTAAACTTCTCTAACCGGAAGACCTCTGAAGCGGCTCTAAAATCCACCGCACAGTGGTGGTTGTGCACATATGCTTCTGCATCGGTTTCTTTCCTGCTTTTTATCGCAGAAGATCCACGGGCAACTTCCCTCCGCAGCTCCGAGGAGCTGGGTGTTCACATAATCACTCACAGCTGAAACACCCAACATTAGCACAAGGCAGAGGGGCTCCATTTCCAGGCGAGCACATGCAGTGTCACTATGCAAGCCATACCGATACTGTTCCCGAAACCTTAACTTTACAAAAGGAAGCGGCACTTGAGGCTGGCATTCCACAGGTATCAGCTTTTCGGCACACTGATGTCCTGCAGCCGAAATAAGAAAGACAAGGCCAAGCAGCCCTGACAGGATTCTTTGGAGTCAAGTTTCTTCTGCATTGTAAAGCACTATATGTCACCAGGAATTCCTTATCTGCGCTCTTAGGGGGTTAAACCTCACAGGAGCCCCTCTGAAATCAGTGTAATCCCCCAGCACCAGGCCTGTGACACAAAACCTACTGACAAGTTTCGAGGTTTGTTGTTAGTTGCTGGTGAGAAAGGGCAGATGATTTTTCGACAGACACTACTCTAGATTCCCTCTGCATTTTAATTCAGGTTGGTTTTTTCCTCATTAGGTGCAGGTGATGTGTGTGCAGTATGCCTGATACAGGAATTACGATAAAGAAGGCAGTGTTCCTCACAAAGGCACTGGACTTTGGAAGGCTGGGCACTGAAAGAACCCATTTTAGTGACAGCAAATACAAAATTGTGTTCAGTTGTTGTATTGAAAAAGTCTCCTTGTAACAATAGTTAATAATTAACATGCCTGTGCATGGCATACTGTGGTCTTCAAGTGACAACTGCAGCCTGAGAGTCCCAAACAGCAAAACCAAGGAGGGGGCAGAAAGGACTAGTTCAGTAACTTGTCATTTTCTGTCAGCTACAGACAGGCTCAATCATCAGCACATAATAGAATATTGCATTCAGGCAGAACCAAGGCACGAGGAGAGGAAATTCAGCCTTACTTCCAGGTGTGTGTCAGATCACTCAGCTGATACTGTGCTGGGTGCATGTTTCCTTATAGAGTGTTTAAAAATCTGTCAGTTCTGTAAATGTTTTTCTGAAGTTACTTTTGTAACAGTGGCCTTACAGTGCCTGGTTAAGGGTTCTAAAATGCTGTGGAGTGATACCATTGGCATTTAGTGTATTCCTGATTTTTTTTAGTAGGAGAGAACATTGATGGGTAGCAGAAGAGCCTACACGTCGAAACTACCAATGCTTACACAGTTACTCACTGTAAGAGTGATCACATAGCATACTTACCGTGGCTCAAAGCATTTTTAAAACAATTCAGCAAACTGGATAAGGCAGTAGCAACATTACATATCTTGTTTTAAACACCTATTGTATCATTATCTAAAAGTGTCTCCTTCCTTAACCTGAACTCCAAAAAATGTTTGTAATTAGTAACTGTTTAAAAAAGCTTTAATTGTCCATAGCTCTCTGTATTCTATCCCCAGAAAAACAGCCTCCCCTATGGTGGAGGTCATGAACCTTGTCTTTGTTCTGCCTGCCAACAGCAGAGTTTACACAAGCGGCAATTTGGGACAGAGGGGGACATAACTCAAGGATGACTTTTTCTTATCTTTAAACAGGAGTTTAAAGAAAATGTGAATAGCAAAATGGACTGAAGCATGTTTGATCGGTTACAATTATAAATAGTGGTGACAGCAAATTTAAAATACCATCTCCTGAGGGGCCACACATAATGCTGCTTGCCTCTAGTCTTTCCTTGCCCGGCCAACATCAGCCTTTGGGCAAAGTTAATCTCTTCCTGATAGCCTTTGCTTCTGCCCTTCCCATGCTTCCTCTTCTATTTCAAATGTTCTTCCAGGCATTTTGGCAAGCCTCCACCTTCCTTCCCAGGACGCCCACACATTCCAGGTTGTTAGCACAATCATTGTTCAACCATTAACCAGGAGCTAAAAGCAATTAAACACAAACCTCACTACAAATCCCCCTTCCCTTATTTGTCTACCACTTTTTCAGGACAGGCCTTTATCCTATTTATTGAAGTTGCTAAAAGACTTCAGGAATTTTAAGGAACAAGACAGGATGATGGAACAGTCTTGCAAGGAAGACGTAATATTTCTTACGAATAACGCTTCTTAAGGATTATTAAGTGGAAAGGAAAATGAACCAAGAAACACCAGATGAACATTTAGGCACAATTCCTGTATTTTGTGAGGAATACAGACTGTGAGTGGTTGCTGTAAGCTTGACTACCTGAATCAACTTACAAAGAAATCACTGGCACACATGAAACAGAGTTTTAGCAAGGTTAGACATGCTAGGACTTTCAGACTGTAAGCCAGACCACCACAATCATCACAGTGACTGGCTGTTGGTGAAAACTCTTGATATACCCAAAAAAACCCAACACATTCCACTTTCTCTGCTGAGCCTGAGCATCCAATAAGGGTACAAATGCCAATCCTACCTTTCAAAAGCACTTTGTATGTTTTCCTTCACCAAAAATGGAGTAACTGTCTTGTGGGAAAAATGGTGCCAGCCCTAATACGAACTGGTTGGTTCCTACCAATACTGACCATAGTGTGTATCAAATTATTTTAATCCAGTTATTTCTTCTAGGAGAGGCAAAGCAAGAAACTATTGATGAGATGTCAAGTCTGTAACCATAAAACAATCTGAGTATTCAAGTAAATGATGTTAGTAGAACATAATTTGATGTTAGGATCAGAGCTCATCCTGAGCCTCTCTGCAGAAGCATGAAGACTGACAGTGTCCTTGCCCTTAACTTACAGTTTGATGCAAGCATTAGAGCAAAGAATGAGTCATGTCCTATGATTCATCATGTACACCGAGATAAAACTCATTTGAACTCACTGACACTATTTATCTTTACTAGTTAGATTAAATCCATTTCTTACTCAGATATCTAAAAGCAGGAAATTGCACAAATAGCAGCAGCATTATGGATGAAGTGCAGGGCACATCAAATATGAAAGCTGAAGCGCTCTTATAAAATCCACCCTAACTGGCCAAATTTTTAACAGAATCTTTCCAGTACATGTTTCAAGAAGCACAAAGAATTCAAAACAGTACACAATGCTGCAGTCTTCAGCATTATCATCATGGCATGAAATCGCAGCTTTGCATAATGAATTAAGAATTCTACATGCAACTTTATCCTGAAATAAACATTTGCACAAGGTAAAGGAATGTAGATAAAGTCCAAATATGACTCTCATGAGTGTTAGTATGCTGCATGCAAATTACCTAAGAAAATGATTTTTTGAAAAGTCGACCAGAAAAATAATTACACAAGCTGTACGTGATGAAGCAAAGGAAGAACCAGGAGAAAGTATTCTTGAGTAAAAGTATCAAGTCATTAACATCTATGCAAATATATTTAAATAGCTATTTGAACTATTAGAAGATTGAGCTAAATACTATTGTTTTCCATATACTGAAAATTATTTTCAGTGTTCTAAGTTCAAAGCAGTAAAAAGATGTTCTGTTTTTAGGTTTCCTTTGTTAAAAAACCAAACCAAACCAAACCAAACCCCCTTTTATTCTTATACCCACATGAGTGGGGAATCATTGTATTTACCTCATCCAGTAAAGCTGAAATTTCAGGTAATTGCCGTATTTTTTTATTCTGATTGAAAAACAGGTGAGCGGCATGCACAGTTAACCAAGAGCTGCTTCCAGTGAAATGTTATTCTATTTTAATGGTGGGAAATAGCGGGTAACAATGCTTATATTTTAAATGCAAATACTGGGCAACAATAGCTATACAGGTATTGGTTTTCAATGACAAAACTAAACACATCTGTAATAATTCTAGCTAGACAGAGAATCATGTAAAACTAATAATCACAAGTGTCAGAGGACCCAAGAAGAAAAATACTTTGCACTGAGTATCTTTTCATACAGATAAACAATTTATAAGAGTATGGTATAACTGTTTCCTCAAGAATTGGTCAACAACTCTTGAATGTTCATTTCACAGGCAATTAAAACCTACAAGTGCTAATGAGCCACCAGTGCAAGTGTTGAAGTGTTCTTTTTGCAGTTCGTAATTTCTTGTAAAGCTTTTTAGTTTAAGATTTTAAGTACATAATCTATTTCATCCTTATTTTTTTTCCCAGCTTGAAAAACACATCATCAGTCCAAACACCATGTTTGATTCTAAGAAGCAAAAAGGCAAAAGTTTCTGAGTCAGCACGGTACTGAGGGGAGCCTGGTTGTATAAAGGTGAAAAAGTATAATCTCAGCTTAAATTTAAGAAATGCAGAATAAACGTAGTGCAAATTTTTGCTACTGTGAATCTTAATTTTGCCCAACTAAAAAGTATGTATTTTTACTATCTGAAAAACAAAAGGGAACAAAAAGCGAAATCCACAGCTTGCATATTCACACAACAAATTTGCAGAGATACCTCTGCACAGCTTAAACTTGACATACCAGCTTTTACAGTTCAATATGATGCTTACAACCATACAGACCTCTAAGTAATTTAAAGTTTAGTTTAAAAAAATAGAAACTCCAAAACCCCATCAAAAACCAAAACATGATGTGAAAGAAACTGGAATTTGGAAAACAGAGAAAATTCAGCAGTACCAAGAGAAAAGCTCCTCTTTTACATGCATTGCACAAAATGAAAAATTTTTACTGCAACAGCCATTTTCTTTACGACATGCTTAATCTGACTGTGATGTGTTATTTACTAGCAGTAGCCACAAATTTTTAATGCGATGTGTTCACACTACCACAACTTACATCAATGTAATTCAAAGGTATTTCTTTTGGGTGTATGTCTCACCAAAAGAAGTTTAGCATTTGTGTGCCGCTCAGAAGTCATCAGGTGGCTCAGTCCTTACATTGAACAAGACTACAGACAGTAAGAATTCAAGTCTTACTTCTGCAGTAAGAAAGTAAGGAATGCAGTGACAGGAAGGATGACCTCCTCCACTTGTACTACATGGACAGAGAATGAAGCAGTGACACAGAAGCCCGAAGACTTAGAACTAGAGAAATATGTATTATTTTCATTTTTGTTGTGCAACATAGCGATGTCAAGAAAAAACCAACAGAATTAAGCTCAGGTACCTCAGAAAACAAGGAAGGGGTTGGCTTGTGGTTAAAGTTTTTAAATTCCATGAGGTAAAATATCATCAAGTATCTTCTTTCCCAGAATATATTAAGCAGGACAAATCCAACTTAGTTTTTAACGCTGTTGAAAGTTCTTTTGATAGCAGCTCATGAAGGGATACTCTGTCATGTGAATACACCCAATTTCGTCCAGTCCAGTCATAGCGCTTGGGCCCACTAGAAAACAAAGCACATGCTGTGTAAGTACAGATTATTCATGGAGAGCTGCTGGAAGCCTGCATTTATAGTGTACCCTGGGAAAAAGAACAGACAGCAAAGAGAAGGGCTGGTGGGCAGTCTGGGGCAGTGGAGCAGAAGACAGATACTGCTGAGCCATCCAACAGATATCCATCCCTGAATGGAGAAAAGATGTAGCAGTCACTGACATAAGCTCCTTCCCTTCTTGGTTTTGGCACAGATTTCCCCACTTTCTTCCCTCACCCCCTTATTCCCTCACCTGTATAATCTTCTTGCACACAAATATTACAAGGGATATTTGTGTAACACTGAATGAATGGTATCAATTAGTTCTTGCAGCAGGTAATACCACATGCAGGTATTCTAAACACAGCAGAACACAAATCACCACTCTCTCTTCTTAGATGAAACGAAAGAATTTACCAGCTGAAAGCAAATATATTGGCATGTAGGAGGTTTGTACTTAAAATGCCGTTTTCCTCTGTGTCATCATGCAGTGTTGGCTTGACTTTTCAGGCCTATATTAAGTATCAACACAGAAACTTGAACACCTGGGTTCTATTCCAGACTTATCTATCTACTCAATTCTCCACACTGGAAACAAGAGAATGACTGAAAGGCTCTCATTACTGTTAATATTAACTAAGAAACTAAGAAAAAAAAAAAATCTTGTCTATGATCAGCCTTATCCTTGAACTCACAGGACAAAATGCCTTGGAATGGAGACAATCCATGCACAAGAAGATCTGCTGGAAAGGAGAGTATCTTATATACACACAAGAACAAACTGCAGGTTTTCAACAAACATAAACACTAATCTGAAACTTGGATATCCTGAATTACTCACAATATTCAAATGAAGAAATTTCCAACTACTAAACAAACTATGAGGAGTCAAAAATGCAAGCACAAATGAAAGTCACTTCCAGGGAAATCTTACTTCCTGTATGTTAAGTGGTAACTACTTGGAATCAGGATTATGTGCTCCAATTACTTTACATTTTTCACTTCTTTGTCTGTGCAGCACCACGATAGGGTCCTGTACCTAGGGAATGAATGATACAATGGGATGCAGCCATTCATGAAAAGTGGGCTAAGACAGGCTATTTAATTAATGACAAAGAAAAGCGTAAGTTATTTGAACTGTTTTAAATGTTATGTAATAAGGATCAGTGATATGGCTAGCATATGAAATGTCTCCATTGTCCTCTGAAACTTCAAAATGCTGTATAAATGTGATTTTTAATTTAAATTAATAATTTAAGCAAGGATCTTGTGACTTCTATAAAATGCCTACAAAGATAAATATAGACTAAATATATTTCTCATTGAAACTCTGCATACATTTTTAAACAGTAAGAGAGAAGAATTAAAATATCACATTACGGTATTATTAAGAGATAACTGTGTAAGGTTTAGAAGTCTTTTCAGTCAAAGGAGCTACATGAAGTCACTGCAGTCACACTGCTGGCAGGTTACACCCACCCCTGAAATCCCCTTTTAAAATTGTTGACTAAGCAAAACTTTGCAAACGCAAGCTTAAGTGCACTTCAGTGTATAGACACAGGATAGCAAACTGAAGGTCAAAAAAATACAAGAAAATGTCTCTCTCTCAAATCTTAAGAATTTGTCTTTCTCAGAATATGTTCTTAAAGACCCAAGATTCTATATTTACTGTACAAATAACATTCAATACAAGTGACCACCAGCAGACGTATTTGCTTCTTTTAGTTCCTAGTATATTGCACTAAGGAGGTATGTCACTCCAAATCATACATTGTCTGCTGGAGTAGCTTTTTAGAAGTGAGGAAGTAAATGAACATGCAGCATCATATTTCAGGAAATACCACTGTTTACCATGATACCAGCTGAGGAAGCACAAAACATTTGTAGGTGAATCATTTTTCTTTGCAAATGATTGAAAATACCATCATGAGAATTTTTGAGTTCATCTCTTTCCTTGTGTATTTTTATTCACAATTTAAAAAAAAAGTTTAATGTTTATCAACAAATTCCATATTCTGGAGCATTAATGTCTTAGCTCAACTAGTGTTGGCTCTAAACTGATAAGAACTCTCTGAATTTTGGTTTTCAGAAATACATGAAATCTTTGTGTCAATGACACAAATATCTTACAGTCATCTTAAACAGAATCAAGGTTCAGAAATCATGCTGTTTCAAAATATGCTGAATGAATAAATTCTGACACTCAGCCTGCATCTGTCTAAACAAAACGGTTTGTTCAGGTTGCTAGACATGTGCTTTAGCAAGTCACACACCTGCTAAGTAAATTATTTAATAAAAGGATTCTGGGATAGGAGTTAGTACAAAAATTATTAGCCTGGTGTGCTGTGTAGCAAGCAGTACATAAGTACACTAAAGCAAAGTCATGCTTGGAAATACCAGATCCCAGCCAGACCCAAGGGCATTTCCTACTTTCCAGTGGAAGACAGTCAAAGTTAGTAAGTACCCAGGGTTTGAGAAACGCCATCAGGATATTGCTAACATTTATTTATATAAGCTGTTCAAAGCAGGAATCCTTTATAGATGAGAAATAAAACACAGCCCTGGGAACAGCAGTACCTTGTTTCTGAACATCATCATGGGAAAAGGACAACACCACTCTTATTCAGAGACCAGGGCAGAGGGACCAGAATTGCTGATGTCAAAAATGGGAAACATAGGAATGGGAGTTCAGTTTCCTTCCAGTGAAGGAAAACTGTTTGTTTACAAAATATGTTTGTTTACAAAGCTTAAACAGTAAAACTTTGTATTCTTGAGTGAAACAAAAATTTTGTTTTGCAGCAACAGCCATATACATAGGTTTTAACACATCAATTGCAGATTTAACAAAAGGCGACAAGAAGTTTAAATGTCCCACAAGTCTCTGAATTATTTTAAAATCATATTCAGTTCCTAACTGGATCTTCTTGATTACTTGATGAGTCTTCATCCATTAATCTTCAGGTATTTCTACAGTTCTGTTTTTATTAAGTATCCCAAGACTTTTCTTTAGGCAAACTTTATGAAGTATCCCAGACTTTTCTTTAGGTAAATTTCATGTCTATTAAAATTGTTTCTCTTAAAAGCTTGAATTCCATTGTGGGTTTTTTTTTCCCAAGACATAAACCCTGCTACAGAATTCTACTACTGCAAAATTATTCCCAGTTTTGCAATCAATAAATTCTTTCTGAACAACATTAAAGAGGTATGCCTGCACAGTTACTGGGAGTGCTCATACTTTCCAGCTAACTGGTTCCTTCACCAGCAACACTGACCAACTCCCTCAGTCCAGACAGTGGCAGAGAACACAAATTTTGGGGGGAGACAGCTACAACATTTTCCCACTTAGCTGCCTGTCTTTCCTGCTGAAACCAACCAGAAAGCCTGGAATGGACCAAAACACAGCATTAGAGAAGGCAGAGGGAACAGCTAGCCAAGGCTTGGTAAAGGGCAGATGCCTGACAAAAACAATTAGTGGGAGAGCACATAAACATATAAAGCAGGAAATCCCACAAGCTTAAAGAGGAAGGAGCCACCCTGTTTAAATACAGAAGAGAAGTTTAGATCGTATCATCATCATCACTCTTTCCAACAGAAGCTTTGGGTGGTTTTGTTTGTGTTTTTTTTTAATCATGCTGTTTATTTTATTTCTGTGAGCAGACTGTCTTCCTGCAGACAGTGGTTTTGGACCAGAGCAGCATATGAAAATTCTGTATTACACATTTCCTGGATTAATTGGATGTGTCAGTATACTGCACTGTGCCTCAAACCTCTGTAACAAATTACTACTGAACGGTTAGATTATATCATGTTTTGAGAGTATACTGAGCAAAAAGGTTACTTATGGAAAGGATATTACATAGTCCATACGGTGCTATAAAAGAAGGGGCGTTACATTTCAACCTAGTCTGCAGACATTACATAGCTAACTTACACGTAACTTACCTAGTGGGTGAGGACAGCCAAATCTGACGGTTTGGTGTTTGCTTATTGATTACGTATGTTCCCATGTCTCCACCTAATTTAACTGTTAGAACTCCACTCTCAAAACACAAAATAAGAGAGAAGTTAAAAATTTGTCTCCTGTTCCTTGACAAGAATGACAGTATCTGATGTAGCTAAAACAGAAACTTACATTTCTGTATCACTTTCCCAAATATTTTCCTAACAATAATAGTTTGGAAGAATGATCATTAGGTATCAAAAACTTGTATTACCTAGGACAACCTGCATATCTTTGAGTCTGGTCTACACTTTAGACCTTCTTGTCAGAGTTTGATATACTGCGTTTGCACCATTCACAATGGCGCTGCTTAAATAATATTCTTGAGCTTTTGATCTGTCACCTTGGAAGGAATGCTAGTTCATTCTGCAAAGATTAAAACATCATCCAATAACAACTTTTTCTATTCCTGAACCATCGAGAAGTGGAGTGGTTCAAGATCAAGAAGCTTTATGTGTCATTGCTAGATTCCCGAGCCATGCAATTTTACCTAACTTTTCCTAAGTAACTGTAACAGTTTCCCAGTGAATAAACACAATTCTTTCTCCAATAATTCTGATAAAGTGCCTTTATCCTGAATCATACCTCAAAAATGTTCCACTTCTGAAGTCCATGAGGTCTAGTTTGTTTTAGTTATGCCAGCTTTAGACCATTATACTAGCAAGCATTTGTTTTCTTTGTTTTTACTTGCATTTCTTACTGACATGATTCATGTTTCTCTGACATTTTCATAAGTGCATTTGAATGGCATACATTAACTCTGACAAAAATATTTATATCCTAACTTTAAAAGAACAACCCTACTTAGACGAAAGGTAACCTACAGATGATCCAAATAATGCTGATTAAAAATTACAGCTTGATGATTCAGGTAACAGGTTAGTCATATTTTATCTACTGTTTCTCAAATACTTCATACCCTATAGCATTCCATTTAAGGGAATCATACTTTTCATTCTTTAGTCAGGACAGCCAATATCATTGCTAGGGCTATTTGCTATGTATAAACACTTACTATGGGGAAAAAAAAATTCCATTTATGAATACCTACTGCCTGCAAACTTAACCTGTAGCACAGGCAGCAGCTTTTAAGACCTTAAACTGCAAGTTACTGTATTTTGTAGTATGTGTTTCATACTACTGGATGTATGTCTGTTAGCTCCTGGTAGCAAGAATATTCGAAGAAACGTATTTTTTCTCCTGGACATGACAACCTTTAAAGGTTCGTTCCAACCCAAGCCATGCCCTATGATCCTACATAAACTGTATAAAGAAATCAAGTTCATAACATGTCATAGGCAGAACAGAACTTTATCACGTTCGCCACCTGGTGGCCGGCTACAGCATTAGCCTTTGATTGGAATTGAAACCTCGGACTCTTAAAACGTTTAACCCTTTTCTTTCCTCTTTCAGAAAGAACAACATGTTATTATGTCATCATACAGTTTATGCAACAAAAGAGTACTGGTAGAAATTAAGACGGATGTAAAAAGAATTCCTTTTGAGCCTCACAGAGTCAATGTCAAACACAATCCACTCTGCAGCAGCTAGAGGTAAAATTCTGACATCTCACCTTCACACAATGAAGTGTCTAAGAACATTAAAGAGGTAAATCACAATCTTTTTTGCTAATTTTTGTCCTAAGCTCTTTAAATCAGGCTAACAGGTGCTAATGTGCTAAAACACACCAAATAGTAATGGTTAAACAATGTTTTGCTCTTCACCTGAAAAGCAATTAGCTGTAACAGTAACTCCTTAATTAAAGCAACAAATAGTATTTACTAAGGGCAACAACAGAATCCTACTAACAGTGTTATTCTGTTATTTTCTATCCTAGCTATAAGAAATAAAGAATGAATATTTTGATGGCAAAGTTAAGCAGGAACTAGTCTGAAAACTACAGGGGTGTGTCTGTGGGGTGTTTCTGTGGTTTTGTTTCAGTGGTGTTTTGTTGTTTGGGGTTTGTGTTTGTTTGTGTGGGTTTTGGGTTTTTTGGTTGGGTTTTTTTTCACAGTGCAACCCAGACCATCTCTTCAAGGTCCCTCAGCATAAAACCTTAAATGACAAGGCTCTTAGAAAGCAACCTCCTAGTGATAAGACATGAACAGAGAGCAGAAGTTCTGTGACCTCAAAAAAATGCAGCAGCGAAAGACCTGTGTTGCAGATGGCAGCGTAGGGAGAAACTGCACTCTCCTACAAGTCATGTAGAGGGCTGTAACATACAAACCACTTCAGGGCTTGTATATAAAGCTAATAAATTCCTATATACAAATCAACAGCGGATTTTTAATCTATCACTCCTCTAAAAGAATTTGACTGGCCAACCTATTAAAGACTCCAGTTACCAGGCTAGCACCTGCCCAGTGTCTCCTGTGACAGTAGCTTTCTCTGGTCTCACTTCTGCAACTATCCAAACATTGCATCCTCTTGTTGCTTCTCTCCACCACAGGCTGACGTGTGTAAAGCCAGGATAAATGTACTCTGCCTGGCCAAAACAAATGTAGCTCTTGGTATTCAGAGCAACCAAAGAAACTGCTGTATCAGCTACATGTCATGTACCTGTACTATGCCACACAGGGCTGTCCTATGGGAGTATTTCATTGGAAATGTGACTCTCCAGGGCAGCCTTGGATGCAGCGACCATGAGATGCTCAAATTTGAGATCCTCAGGACAGTGAGAAGAGCGTGCAGCAAGCTCACTGCCCTGGACTTCACAAGAGCAGACTTTGGCCTCTTCAGGAACCTGCTTCGGAAAGTTCCATGGGATACAGCCCTAGAGGCTGACTGTTGGTTGACATTCAAGGATCACCTGCTACAAGCTCAGGAGTGTTGCATCCCAACCACAAGGAGGTGCAGCAGGAGGGCCAGGAGACCTCCTTGGATGGATAAGGAACTCCTGAGGAAAATTCAAATGAAAAAAGAGGCTTTATAAGTGGAAGCAAGAACAGGTGGCATGGGAAGAGTACAGGGATGTTGTCTGGGAAGCTAGGGACCAGGTTAGGAAAGCAAAGGCCCAGTTAGAATTAAACTTGGCTAGAGGTATTAAAGATAACAGGAAGGGATTCTACAGGTATGTAGCAAATAAAAAACAGACAAGGGAGAATGTAGGCCCCCTCAGGAAGCTCTCAGGAGAACCGGCTACACAGGATTTGGAGAAGGCTGAGGTTCTGAATGACTTCTTTGCCTCAGTCTTCACTGGCAAAGGCTCTGACAAAACCACCCAAGTCTTGGAAGGCAGACGCAGGGACTGTGAGAATGAAGACCTTGGGCCCACTGTAGGAGAGGATCTGGTTCGAGACCATCTTAAAAACCTGAACGTGCACAAGTCTGCGGGTCCTGAAGGAGCTGGCAAATGAAGTTGCGAAGCTGCTGGCCATCGTATTTGAGAAATCATGGCAGTCAGGTGAAGCTCCCGACGACTGGAAAAAGGGAAATATAACCCCCATTTTCAAGAAGGGGAAAATGGATGACCCAGAGAATTACAGACCAGTCAGTCTCACCTCTGTGCCTGGCAAAATCTTGGAGCAGATTCTCCTGGAAGGCACGCTAAGGCACATGAAAATCAACAAGGTGCTTGGTGACAGCCAGCATGGCGTCACTAAGGGGAAATCCTGCCTGACCAATTTGGTGGCCTTGTATGATGGGGCTACAGAACTGATGGACAGGAGTAGAGCAGCTGATGTCATCTACCTGGACTTGTGTAAAGCGTTTGACACTGTCCCACACGACATCCTTGTCTCTAAATTGGAGCGACATCAATTTGATGGATGGACCACTCGGTGGATAAAGAACTGGCTGGATGGCTGAACACAAAGAGTTGTGGTCAATGGCTCAATGTCCGTCTGGAGACCAGTAACGAGTGGTGTCCCTCAGGGATCGGTGTTGGGACCGGTCTTGTTCAACATCTTTGTTGCTGACATGGACAGTGGGATTGAGTGTGCCCTCACCAGGTTTGCCGATGACACCAAGCTGTGTGGTTCGGTTGATACGCTGGAGGGAAGGAATGCCATCCAGAGGGACCTTGACACGCTTGTCAGGTGGGCTGATGCCAACCTCATGAGGTTTAACCATGCCAAGTGCAAGGTCCTACACCTGGGTCGGAGCAATCCCAGTCACAGCTACAGGTTGGGCAGAGGAGAGATTCAGAGCAGCCCTGCGGAGAAGGACTTGGGGTTGTTGGTTGATGAGAAAATGAACATGAGCCAGCTTCAGTGTGCGCTTGCAGCCCAGAAAGCCAACTGTATCCTGGGCTGCATCAAAAGGAGCGTGACCAGCAGGTCAAAGGAGGTGATTCTGCCCCTCTACTCTGCTCTCGTGAGATCTCACCTGGAGTATTGTGTGCAGTTCTGGTGTCCTCAACATAAAAAGGACATGGAACTGTTGGAACAAGTCCAGAGAAGGGCCACAAGGATGATCACGGGACTGGAGCACCTCCCGTATGAAGACAGGTTGAGAAAGTTGGGGCTGTTCTGCCTGGAGAAGAGAAGCCTGCCTGGAGACCTCATAGCAGCCTTCCAGCATCTGAAGGGGGCCTATAGGGATGCTGGAGAGGGACTCTTCATTAGAGACTGTAGTAATAGGACAAGGGGTAACGGGTTAAAACTTAAACAGGAGAAGTTTAGATTAGATATAAGAAGGAAATTCTTTCCTGTTAGGGTGGTGAGGCACTGGAAGGTTGCCCAGGGAGGTTGTGAATGCTCCACCCCTGGCAGTGTTCAAGACCAGGTTGGACGAGGCCTTGGGTGATATGATTTAGCATAAGGTGTCCCTGCCCACGACAGGGGGGTTGGAACTAGATGATCTTAAGGTCCTTTCCAACCCTAATTATTCTATGATTCTATGATTCTGTGATTTAGCAGGGAGAAGTGACTGCTGATGTCAGGTGCCTATGCTTCCTTAGAAAAATTTATAGACCAGTTGCTGTTTCCTCTTGGACTCATTTGTTATTTTACATTATCTGTTTCTCTACACACTAAACATTTTAAATCCTCGAATCATACAGCAGCATGTGTTACTTTTCACCAGAACAGTTGCTCCAGTCAGTATAAACAGGCATATTTTTACAATAAAGCTGTAAAATCTGACAGCATTCTAAGTGTTGGCACTAAGGTGACCAATTTAAAATTCTTCCTCAAAGAAAAAAAAATACAGTAATTGCATTGGTAATAAAATGCTTAAAACATACCCCTAAAGAGACATCATAGTCTTCTGGGGTAAAAGGCTTATCTGTCAGGTCCTCAAAGAAATCTGCTAAGGAGTCCAGTGTCTCTTCAGCCAGTTTTTCGTAAGTGGTCTCATCTAAAGACCTACAAATAACATACAAGTCCATAATTAGGAGAAATCTGTAGAACACACTATTTTCCCTATAATAAAAACATACCATGACCTTGGAGGAAACAGTAACCATGAAATGAGCATATAAAACAAGCAGTAAGTTGGGTTGTTTTTTTTTTTATGTAATGTAGGTTACTATCCACCTTATAAATGGAAGTGGAATTTTGAAATTTTGGTAGTAGAGCTCTCTCAATTGAGGAGTATGCATTTTTTTCCTCAGATATACTGACTTCTGTTTACCAAGAGGAGAGAGATAGGAGAAGGTTAGATTTCAAGACCAGGCATTTTCATAAAGGGACTTCGTGCAAGAATTACTTAGTTTTGAACTTTATGAAGAGACAAGCACCTCCAGAAGCGAATGTCACTTTGACTGTAAGAAACTTGCCACATCTACAAGCAGGTTAGAAACATCATTATCACATGCCATGTCCACATACGGCATTTGACTTCTCAAATTACCAACACAGACTGGTAATTAGACGTTATTCTTATGAACTAATACATACAATTACCTTCTTCTTCAGAGAGTCTTAAAGCACCTTTGTAGCCATTACGTAAGGCTTACAGCACTTGTGAGACTGCTTCTGTTATCCTCTTTAAATAAGTATAAAAAGTTAGTGGGAACAAAGTCTAGGTTAGTTTAATTAGCCAAACGTAATTAAATCACTTAAGTTTTTCCACCTGTATCAGTGTTAACTTTTAACAGAGTGTGTAGGTGGATATCTCTAGCAGCAGACAATTCAATGAAATCATTTCAGTTTTTTGCTAATGGGTACAGCAATACAACAGTTCCTATGGACTATGGTGACTCAGTATCTTTCAGTTAATACAGATATTTTATTTTTAAGTTTCTTGCTAGTCAGTTACTGAAATGTACTCTATGCCACTTATGTGAGGAACACCGCAGAAAAACCTAGGGGCAAGGAGAATGGAAAGCCTCAGAATTAGGCAGGATTCACATAGTGGTTCAAGGTGCCATTAAGGTACTTAAGAACTACCTTAGGTACCTGCAGAATCCTTCGTTGGGCCTCCAACAGCTACATCAGATGGGGAGAAATCTCTGACAGATACTGTGTCGCATTCTCACAGCACAAGTAGAAATTTCACATATTCTGACATACGTAAAATGGTGCTAGACCTATGTTTAGGTACCTTAATTATCTCTTAAGTGACTTCCCACATTCACCTCCCAAATTCACCCAAAATGCTTTCTGTTAAAACTGTTCTTTTCCATCATCACATCAACATTACATTAGGTGATACCCTTACCATACCTACGGATTATTAAAAACATGCAGAGACAGCACTGTCATATGAATGTTTCAAAATACCATTTACCCTGTGTCATTCAGAGTTCCCGCACATCTTAAATTCATGAACTGAACAGTCTTGCTCTTCACCTCTGAAGCATATTGTAATTGCTGTTGAAAGTAAGGGTAAGTAAAATGGAATTAAAAGTTAAACCACAAAGATTTATAAATTACGTATTTGTCACATAAATTAAGTAAATCCTTGAACACTTTTCCATCCTCCCCAAGTAAAATACTCACACTCTGTGTCACAGAGCTAATAAGGAAAGAATTATGTAGCTTTAGTCTTTGTATGATTGAGACAATCTAGAATATCCTTGTTTTCTGACACAAACTAATGAAAAGAAAGAAGAAAAAAAAAAGGATCTTATTCATAGAACAGTGAATTAGGAAAGAGAAGAACTGTTTTCTTTCCTACTGCTCTCCTACAGAATTACTGAGCAACTTCAGGCAACTAGCTTAGGCCAAGATTTTCACAAATATCCACTACTGAGATGATTCATTATCAACAACTTGTGTACCTCTGTTAGAAGCCATTAACGTTTTCAACTGAAGGAAACAGAAGCCCTGAATCCTCCTAATTTACAAAAGAGATAATATCATAATTCACATTCCAAATCTCTTCTGAAAAAAAAACACCAAAAAAAACCCAGCTGTTTCATTCCTGATTTATTTTCTTTTTAAAAAAAAAAACAAAGGTACAAAAAAGCTTTATCAACTTACTGGCAATGTAAGACAAGGGAGCAAAATGGACAACTCCTTTTAGGGAAAGCAATACATGAATATCGATAAAAATACAGCTGGTCTAACACACTAGCAGAAGCACTCATGCTATCCACCAAGACAGACAGATAGCATGTTTGCCACTTTCCTCTTTGCCTGGGCTAAAAAGGCATATATTTTTAGATGAACAGGAAGATAACATTCTTGATTGCTTTTTGTGTACTTGCACAAGGTTTTCAAAACTAGCAGAGTGAGCTGAAAAGAAAGTGACATTTAAAAAGGAACTACAACTGACCGTCTTCAAGTACACCTGTGAGCCAAACACAAAACCAGCTCTCTCCGTATGGTCTGATGTCTACCCTCAGGCTTTACAGATGAACTATCTGGTAGTCCAAAGCCATGACATGGTCATAAAGGACACCAAACTCCTACCATCACAATGATATATACTGACAAAATACACACTGATGTATGTGTATTTTTTACTGTACCCTTTATCATTTCCTTAATACACACTTAGGATCAAAAGCTAAACAACCATAAATATGTCCAGGTTCTGGTCAGACTGAGAGGCTGTAAATCCCTTAGTTTGCTCATGCTCAGTTTATGACCTGAGATGGCCAACACAGTGGTAGCATACACTTGGTATCACCCCTTCATATACCAGACCCAGTGCTAAGGGTGGCCAGCACGCATTCTCTGCAATGGGAAAAGAGTAGCAAACAAGTAAATAGCTCTGGAGCACAGCAAACACTGGATTCTCTTTGTCAGCAATATGGACTGTGGGACTGAGTGCAACCTCAGCAGGTTTGTTGATGACACCAAGCTGCGTGGTGCAGTCAACACACTGGAGGGAAGGAATGCCATCCAGAGGGACCTGGGCCAATGCCAGTCTCATTAAGTTCAACAAGACCAAGTGCAAGGTCTTATGCCTGGGTCGGGGCAATCCCAAGCACAGCTACAGGGTGGGCAGAAGCTGGACTGAAAGTAGCCCTGAGAAGGACTTGGGGGTATTGACTGATGAGAAGGTCAACATGAGCTGGCTTCAGTGTGCACTCACAGCACTCAAAGCCAGCTGTATCCTGGGCTGCATCAAAAGGAGCAGCAGGTTGAAGGAAGTGATCCTACCCCTCTCCTCTGCTCTCGTGAGACTTGGGAGTACCGCATCCAGCTCTCTGTCCCCAACACAAAAGGGATGTGGACCTGCTCGAGCGAGTCCAGAGAAGAGCCAGGAAGGGGCTGGAGCACCTCTCCTATGAAGACAGGCCGAGAGCGGGATTTGTTCAGCCTGGAGAAAGCTCCAGGGACACCTTGTAACGGCCTTCAAGTGCCTGCAGGGGGCCTACAAGAAACCTGAACAGGAACTTTTTACAAGGGCACGTAGTTATAAGACAAGGGGGCATGGCTTTAAACTGCAAGAGAGTAGATTTAAATTAGGTATTATGAGGAAATTCTTTAACGTAAGGGTGACGAGGCACTGGCACAGGTTGCCCAGGGAAGCTCTCTGATTCCCTCTGACAGCTCTCGCTGTTCCCGTTCCCACAGCGCAGAACTGGTGTATTTGCGTATTTTCGGAACGGCCGAGACCGCCGGCCCCACACTTCTGCGCCCCGGCGCTCCCGCGGGCGGGGGGGAGGGGGGGCGAGGCGCGCTCCAGCTGGGCCAGCAGCTACCGCAGCCCGCCTCGGCGCCGCTTCACGGAAGCGGGGCCGCCTTCTCCCGGCCAGAGAGGAATTACGGTCGCCGCTGCCCGGCCCGCAGGGAGCACCGAGCGGGGGGGGGGAGGGGGATCCTGACTAGCACCACAGGCCTGCAGCACCGGCTAGGGACCAGCGGCAGAAACTCCGCGGCCACCCTTCCCTCCCCGCCCCCGAGGCCCGCTCGCAACTGCAGCCTGGGCTGACGCTGCCGAGGCTGCCCCGGCCTCCCCAGGGCAGCGGCAGCGCTGCCATCTCGCCTCCTCCCTCCCGGCGTCGGAGGCCGCACCTCGCTACCCTGCCGCCTCAAGCTCACCGTCCGCCCGCGGCCGGAAGTGGCTGTCCCCGCCAGCAGGACGCACCCAAGGACTCCGCTCCGCGGCCGCGGCGCCACCGCCGCCACCCGCTGCGCGGCATTAACCGCGCCGGCCGCCCCCAGCCTCCACATGTCGCCGCTGCCCGCCGCGGAACAGGCCGGGGAGGAGCCAACGAGCAGTGCCGACAGCGAACAGGAGGCGGCGCGGGTCTGGGCTGAGGTGGGGGCGCGTGGCGGCCGCCGGCGAGGCCAGCGGTGGGCAGATCTCTTCGTCCTTCCCGGCCAGAGGCGGGACGGGTCTTCCCCAGGTGTTGTGGGTCAGCGGACTGGTGGGTGTTTCTGAGGGGCAACCGCCGCCGGACGGACCCTTCGCCGGTAACGCGTCTTGACCGCAGGCATGCGTATCGGCAGGGTGCTGCGGCCGAGGAACGGCGGTGGTGCCGCCCTCTGCGTGCCCGCGGCTGGGGAAGACGAGCAGCATGTGTGACCCCGCAGCCCCCGCTGACTGCGGCACAGCCACCGGACACTTCAGCGGAGTGCTGTGTTGCCGGGACAAAAAAGCTGCGTTGGGGTCGAGTACGGTCTTTCCCTGCCGCGTGCCTTTTCCGGCCATGGCAGTTTCCCCATCAGTCCATCCAGTGGAGAGGTAGGGTGTCCTACCCTCGGCGTTCAGCACAGGCATTGTGCAGCGAGGCTGTGCCTAGGAAAGAGAGGTGCTGGGCCCTGCTGTACTGCTCGGGCTTTTTCATGTGAGCTTGGGGACTTCGGATCTCACCGGTATCATAACGGCAAGTAGCTGTGATGGTCACTCGGTAACGTGACTGCAACCTCTGCGCACCTTCAGGTCAGCTACTGTTCTTGGGTCAGGGAGTCATTGCTCCTGGGTGAAGCTCTGCAGGGACCTGCCCAAGCACAGTGCTCTTGCCCGGTAGGTGTACAAGAGGCTGGAGCCTGGAAAGGACAAAAATTACAAGCAAAGGTACCACACACACACCCATCCGATCACCACGAAGATGTAAAAAGTCCAATCTCAACATCTTTTATTGTTACTTAAACTGAAAAAAAATAGGCTTACAAGGGAGATGAGAGATAAGAAATAATTCTGATGAAAAATTTTCTTAAATAAAAGCATGTTCAGTGGGAGCACAGACAAATTTAATTTCAGATCCTTCCACAGGACAGGACTGAAAGATAACACAGTTGCAAATAAAACTGTAAATGTGTAAAACATACAAGTATTTAAGAAACCACTGTTTACTGTGATACATACTTTTTACATTTCTAACTCTCAGAGAAGCAAATGGCATCTTTCAATGCTTTAGGGAGTGAATTGTCAAGTTTCTCACCAAGATTTGTATTATTTCTTTAAAGTGAAATTACTTTGTGCTACACAAGGGCAGAAGCCCAGACAATTCAAGCTGGTTGTGCGAATTTCAACTGAGAGTTTGAGGTCTGTTGTAGTTAAGAGTTTTCTGTACCAAACCGTATTATTTAGCTTAGTCACTGTCTTGCCTTTTTCCAGCAGAGCCCTCTGTATTTCTTTGTCACCAGTATCTTCTCTCAGACCTTGTTAGGAGTCTGTGTTCTTGCTGATTTTGCAAGGAAAATTTTTATACATTGAGCAGATAAAAGACACTTTTAATTCATTGATGAGCAGTGCACACTATCACTTCTGGAAGGAACTAGTTATGTGTGTGCAACTATAATGGCCTACATATTGAGGTAAGGCCTATAGGGAGAAATAACTTTTATCAGATGGCAGAATACATTAGTAAAGGAAACAGTTCCCTTTTCATATCTGGGAGAGGGGAAAGCAGCAGGCAGAATGGTGGAATGCCTGGTATTTTATGTAGCATTTGATCTCGTAAAAGCTGGTGCTTTTTTACATCTCTTGCCATTCCTATAAAAAGAGTGTCAGAAGATATTTTCAGGTATTATCCAGGTAGTTCCTGGAAAAACAGTAATTTTCTCTAATCATCCAAAGTTGTATGAAGCTCTAAACAGGAAATGCGCATCTCTTGTTTTTAAGTTTACAACAGATCAACGAATTGTTATAGATAAGGTATTTTCTCTGATACTACCAGTCTCACTTACAAAATCATTTAAAAACTTGTTAACATTGTTCAAGTTCATGAACTTTTCAGGGTGTTACTACCAGTGAGGATCATTCACACAACTTCAAATGGGTTTGGGTTTGGGGATTAGCAATTTTAATGTATTAATAGATGTTATAATTAAATATGTTAAATTAATATTTTAACTTTATTTTGATCCTTGTCCCTGAGGTTAAAGTTGTTCATATCACAACACTTCAGTATCAGTATCTTTTAGTCTGGTGTAAAGTAACTGCAAAGCAGTTCCAGATGCGAAATTACTGCAGGGTCAGGCCCCGCACCTGTGAGAGACCGTATCTTAAGGTGACTGTCTCAAAGCCTGCTTGCAGTCCTGGTGAGCTTGTTGCAAGACTTGCTGATGGTTTAACTGAGCTCAGCTGCTATGAACAGATAAGGGACAGCCACCTGAAACCAGTTTCCACTGAGGTCAAGAACGGTCATGTCGCTTTGTGGGATGTGCCTGAGCGTGGGTGACCACCTCAACCTGCCAAGACATGTACAGTCCACGGTACATGATCACACAGTAATTGCATGAGCTCCACGGCAGGGCTGGGTGTGCACAGGAATGCAGTAATACTGTAGAAAGGACTGTGCTATCAAACAGCTGGTGGGACCCTCGTCACTGAAGTATACGGAGGCTGCAGACCAGTGGGACATTGCTGGACCAGTGGTGGTGACTGTCTGGTGCAACTTTATCCCAACTGTTTGCTAGATTTCCTTCTTTTCTATTTCTCTGCCTTTCCTATTGCTGTTTTCTTACCACAGTAAATAAATACTTGGTTTAGACAAGTAATCAATAAATTTCTTTGATTAGCAGCATTTGGCCTCTTGTGTCTTAAGCTCACTCTGGTTATAACAGCTAATCTCCCCGACTCGGGTCCTCCTGGACCAGGACATCACCTTCTGTCTGGAAAGAGCTGGTAACTTTGTTGTTGCATGCAGATGCATGCACCACTGCAAATGGGTCAGCAAATAGCTTCTACGAAGAACAGGTGGAATGCACTACTGATTACTTTTTTATCACTCTCTAGTGTTAACAGTTTGGGAAAACAGCATTGAGCTATATGAAATTAAATTGTCTGAAATATAAGCACAGTCAGCAAGAAAACAGATCTTGGGGTAGGTGTTAGTATTTTCAAACCATTAAACTCTAGTACAAGGACTTGAAATTGTTTTTTTGGGTTTTTTGTTTTTTTTTTTGTTTCATGTTTTAGAACTGAGGACAACTGTTACATGCTACCATGAAAGGCAAAACCTTCCCTCTGAATGCCATATAATTAATTCATAAGGTCAGATTTACAAATTTGGAGTTATTCTCTACCTTTCTGTAAGCAGACAGCAACCTGTGCTTTATGAGCAGCTTGCAGGGCCAGAGTATTCAGGTACCACTGCACACAGAATGCCCATGTCTGTGACCTAATTCTTTAAAGTTTGCTGCCTGTGGTAAGTTCCATCTGTTTAGACCTGGAGAAATAGACCAATACATTACTTCAGTACCACAGGGATTTGGTTATATCTTCTGTATGTATTTTATTTTTATTTGACATGCACTGCCTCCTTAGCTATATAGGAATGTTTAGAAGTCTTTAAATTTTGCTGCCAATGCAGAATATCAATGCAAGATGAAGAGAAACAGAATACTTAAGCATGAAATATAAGCATCTTTATGAGCTCCTGTACTCCTTGATGTTTGAAGCTTTACACTGTTTTGTGCATTAGAGAAAGAAATGTGTTCCCAGTTACTGATCATTAACATTGCTTAGCTGTAATCCCTCTTTCATCACAGTTGAACCATTTGGTCACACACATACACACACAAAAACAACCAACCACCCACCCATCCTAAATAACGAAAACAGCAAACAAAAAAACCCTTGTAAGTGCACATGCTTTGGAGAAGGTTTTCCCAGGAGGCTCCATAGCCTATACAGGATTTCCTTTTTCAAGTGTTAAATGGCTGTTTTAATTTATAAATGGATGTGTTAAAGGGATTGTATACAAAGGATGGCTCAGAATCTGGCAGAATAGTTGCAGTGAAATTGTGTGTTCTGGGGACTGCCTAAGGTCAGATGATTCAAACACTACAGTCACTAGGTAATTGGCAAAAGTGACACATATGTGTTTAATGTTTAATCTGGTGTTTAAGAATTTTCATGGTTTTCCCCAAATAAGACTAATCAGAAATATCTACCTTGTATAGAGACACATTCTACATATACTATGATCTGTTCATGTGAAGTATCTGGTCCTTCCATGCATGTACAGAATGTTTGCTTACAGCGCATGCAGATTGGTCTGTTGAATTTCTAAGAGGAATGCTGCAGAACAATTATCTTTTTAGATTAAGCGATCTTACTTTCAAGTCTGGAAAGGAGGTAACCACAAGACACAAGCACTTGTGTAAAGTGTTTGACACTGTCCCACACAACATCCTTGTCTCTAAATTGGAGAGACATCAATTTGATGGATGGACCACTCGGTGGATAAAGAACTGGCTGGATGGCCGCACACAAAGAGTTGTGGTCAATGGCTCAATGTTCAGATGGAGACCAGTAACGAGTGGTGTCCCTCAGGGATCGGTGTTGGGACCGGTCTTGTTCAACATCTTTGTTGCTGACATGGACAGTGGGATTGAGTGTGCCCTCACCAGGTTTGCTGATGACACCAAGCTGCGTGGTTCGATTGATACCCTGGAGGGAAGGAATGCCATCCAGAGGGACCTTGACATGCTTGTGAGGTGGGCTGATGCCAACTCATGAAGTTTAACCATGCCAAGTGCAAGGTCTTACACCTGGGTCGGAGCAATCCCAGGCACAGCTACAGGTTGGGCAGAGGAGAGATTCAGAGCAGCCCTGCGGAGAAGGACTTGGGGGTGTTGGTTGATGAGAAAATGAACATGAGCCAGCTTCAGTGTGCGCTTGCAGCCCAGAAATCCAACTGTATCCTGGCTGCATCAAGAGGAGCGTGACCAGCAGGTCAAAGGAGGTGATTCTGCCCCTCTACTCTGCTCTTGTGAGACCTCACCTGGAGTATTGCGTGCAGTTCTGGTGTCCTCAACATAAAAAGGACATGAAACTGTTGGAACAAGTCCAG